AAAAAGATAAAAATGTTCCATACTCAGTTTTACCATCAAAATCATATAAAAACATATTTCTCATAAATATATTCGTATTTTTCACATTTTTGTATCTTTTAACATTTTAAATATTTTTTAACTATTTGGGTACCCGGCAAGTTGGGCACCCCAACCCGGCTTGCCAACCGGGTGAGGCTGAGTTACTCAGAGGAGTCTTAAAGCACTGCATAAACATATTCATGATATTGTTTTGGGGCGACTACATATATGCATGATATTTACAAATTGTGTAACTAGTTAAGTGAAATAATGGGTTCTGCTCAATTAATTTTTTTGGAGATATACAAACAGCTAGGACCCAGATCTATATTTCATGCCATTTAACTATCAAGAAAAAAACCCAATCTTGTTTTTATGGAATTGAACTTTTGCAATTAGGTCGTCTGAACAGTGTGGAATTTCTGAAGCATTTAAAATTATAAAAGAGAAATAAGATATTATTCAAACGAAAATACTTATAATTTTCCTAAAAACAGAAAGAAAACGCCATAAAATTTACTAAAGAAATCCTGGTTTTAAATTTAAGCAAAATTTGGCTTCAAACTAAAATGAGATAAAATTATAAGATCTTAAGCATCCAAATTTATCTTTGCAGCCAAAATTTCAACTTAACTTCTTCATTCAATGGGCAAATTTTTGCGGAAATTCACTTCAAATTCAGGACAATATAAAATTAGAGAGTTTATAGAGAAACCTTCCCGGATTTAGTTTTCTCATTGGGGTCGAACAGTGACTGTATCTCCCCCAAAAACCCTTTATCCTCATCCTCTGAACCCCTTTCCGCTTCTTCTTCCTCTGCTCTCAACCCTAGCGCCGTTAGGCTCCCGTTAACAAGCACAGCTCCAGCCAATGACGTCATGCCACGTATGAGAAGGAGACGGGGATGTAACGGACGTTCCTCAGAATCTACGTTACACCTCCATGAACGTGGCTGTTTCTCTGCTCTGTATCATCATAGAAACAAATGGTTTTTTTTAAAACAAATAGATAAACAATAGCACCATTTTTCCTAGGACAAGACTTAATGGCACAATTAGTTACAGAAAAAATGAGAACTTTAAAATTTTACAGCAAAATGAGAACTTTAAAATTTTCATTAAAAAATTAAGGTAGAGTGAGAAAGGACCATTACGCATTGAGAGGGGTTTTGGAAAGAGAATGGGGGGCTTAGAGAGAGAAAATGGTGAGAAGACCGCCATTTTAATTGATTTTTGACGCACCACCTTTCTCCGTCTGTCCTGTCAAGTAAGGCGCGAGATGCTATACCATTAGACAATCACTATCCACATTTCCTTATATAAAGCGTCAATTTTATATGGGATTTTATAGATAATTTACAACCTATCCAATCTTAATTTTGATGGCTTGGATGTGTTACGGAAAAATTTCTTTTGAAGTTTGAGCTTCGTTAATGAAATAATGACGACCACCCAATTTCATATTTAATGATTAAAATTAATGTGATTATTTTGTATTAAAGGAAAATGATCATGTTATATATATATTAAATATTATATCTTTTAATATACAATTTAAACAATCTATTTTTGAGATTTCTAAGCATGTGTTAATCTAATCGATCCGTATTTTTTAAAATTTAATAATGAAAGATAAAAATTCGTCTTCTTGGTTATCTTAAAAATTTCCAACACCCAAGTTATATACTTTCATAGAAGTTCGAGTTATATACTTTCATAAAAGTTCGAGTTGTGTCTTTGATTGTTAAAGATTAATACCTTATGCAAATCATATGTATTTTTATTAGATGACTTATATATTTTTGGTATTTCGTCATCATAGAGTCGGTTACATAAATCCTTGTCTAACTGTTCTATCAAAAATCATACCATCATATAAATGAGCACATGCAGTCTCAATGAGAGAGAACTTACCCTAATTTAAATGTATTCCCTTAAAAAAAAAATATTTTTAAAGATGAATTTAGTGTCCTAAAATACTTATGACGTATGGATGGATGGCCTAAAATACAAGGTTGGGAGTGAAGCAGCCATTTTCTCACTCTAAACCCTCCTCTTTCTCTCTCTTCTCTAATACGAGGAAAGAGAGTATTGATGTGAGGTTGGTTGTGAAGATGGATAAGCGATAGGATAGGAGAAAATCTCATTTGTCACTTGGGTTATGGTTCTTGGTTTGCCACGTGGAAGGCCTTAGACAATGCTTGCACTCATCGAGGGAAATGTGTATTTATGTATTATACTGTAGCGTGCATTATCCACCACATATAGCAATACCATACTTTATATATACTACAATTTTATGTTTTTTCATTTTGTTTATTTTACTTGTTATTTTTTATTTTATTTTTTTTTAGTTTTTATTTCTTTCAGCAGTTAACTTGGTTGTCCGTGTTTTCTTATATTTTCTATATCAATAAACTAAAAAAATTGTTTGGTGCATCCACGTCCGCACGAGTTACCATGCGGGCTTAGAAATTTACACCGTCCACCAAAATTGAATCCCGTAAATCATAGTACTAACAAAAAAAAAAAAAAAATTACAACAGTTCAAATATTTTCTCTAAAAAATAACATTTTGAGTTTTTAAATTTTATTATTTTTATGTATTACATACCCCCCGTGAACGCGGACAAATTCGCTGAGTATATAGACTTGAAGATGAGAAAAGGAGGTAAGGGTTTATGCTTTATTTGGATCAGGTCATTTATGGAAGTAGGGAGTAGTGCTCGTATTCTTTTTTTTTATTTTTTATTTTTGTAGCTATCTTCTTTTAGTTGAGTAAAGTGCAGCTTCAAAAAGTATCTAGAAATGTGGTTTTAATACTAGAAATCTTTGTGATAGTCTTTAAATATATTTTCATCTCTAATTATAAATTTCAAGTTTCAAAAATAGTGTGGTTCGAACAAATTTATGAAAATCTTGAAAGTTTACAATAAAAATATATATTACATGATGCACTATTTTTAAAACTTGAAGTCCATTTTTTTTTCATATCCATGCATCATGACATCGACATGAGATATTTGGGCATCAAAACAACATTTTCTAATGAAATTTGTGAAGTGTGCTCTAATTTAATTGTTTAGAACCTCAGCTCTATATCAATTTTTTCCTTTATTTATGAGTACATTGGAAACTTTTAACGCCAATGCTTAGTGCAATGCTAGCCAATTCGCTTTGCTTTCAGCCGAAGATGCTGCAGTCTTTGGATTTTTAAGCTAAATTGAAGCGAAACGAAGCTTCAATGCATCAGCTTCGGCTTGCTTCGGGCCGCTTCAACGCGCTTCAGTCTAATATGCCCTCTTCGATTGAAGCTTCGGCCATAACACATAATTGCCTTTTTCAAATGCAATTATGTGATTTGGTCTGCTTTAGTCTAATTTGAGATCTATGGCCAAAGCACATATTTGTCTTTTTTTTTAAAATTTTATTATTTTAATATATATATATATATATATATATATATATTATTTATAT